CCCCAAAACCCCAAAACCCCGCAAGAAAATTATAATATTAATTTTTAATTATGAGGTTAGAAATAATATATTATAGCCTCAAAATGAAAATATATAAAAACCTCAAGAGCACTGGATTATCGAACTTAATCATTACTCATTAAAACAGATAAATCGGCTATATTAGTTTAAATTAAACTATAAGGAAAAAATTTAATCCAAAAAAGGCCTTAAGACTATTTACTGAGGTCTTTGATAGTGATAATCAAGATTATGAGTCAGACATTAAGAATATTAGTTTAGGCATCACTAATAATGATCCGAGATACTTCTCATAAAACTAGGAATATTTAGATCAGACCTACAATTATAAGTAAAAGGATTAATTAAGTGAGACTGAATAAATCTAGGAGAATTTCTATTTAGATAGATAAACTTATAAATAGCTTCTTGAGAAATATAGAAAAGTAAATGATGTTACATATGTACATATTGATTAGCCAGAGTCTTTCAGATCATCAAACGTATTGTTTGTTGGCGCAGATTTCGAGGACTTTACCTTAAAGAATATATACAAATCTTTAAACGTATTCAAGCCTGACCTAGTTTTACTTTAATTAAGGCCAGATGATGTGCTAAATCAGTTCAGTACTGACCTAGTGAAAGTGAATTCAGAAACAAATGAGGTTTAATTGGATGAAGAGAAATATTTAAGCTAAATTGTAAGAGAAGGATGGGAGCTATATCCCAATACTAAATTGATAAGATATATACAAAAAGATCTTAAGATGGATGGAATGATTCTTAGTAAGATACCAATAAGCTAGGATGAAAGATTATATAAAAGTAAACTATCTGCAGTAAAGAAATTTGAAGATTATTCATCCTAATCAGAGAGAGAAAATAGATTGAATGCTGAAATTATTGGCACTTGTGCTTTATGGGCTGAGCATCATAAAGCTAAACTTTGCTTGGGAGATATTCCTAAAAGCCTGCTCAAGTACAACACTATCAATTCATATCCTTTGCTGGATTTTGAAGATCAATACAAAAATACTACTTTTAAATCATTTTAAGATGATATTTCACTTTATTAAGCAGCTTTATTGGAATGCCCTGATTTTTTATTGTCCAACACTGATGAATATATGGCAGCCTTAATAAACAAATTTTCAGAGTAGTATAAGAATATAATGGTTATTTGTGGATATGGGTAATCTAGATCTATTCCCTATTATCTATATTACAGCTAGAAGGTGAATAAGGTCGGTAATAATCTGAACGAAATTGTAAAATACAAAAATGTATATGAAAATATTGTTAGATAAGATAATGAAGAGATGCTAATAGATAAGTTGCTAATATTTGACAGTATTCTGAACAATAACTAGAATGAACTTGATCATATCAGTGAAAAGCTCATAAGACAGAGAATATCTAAGATCACTCTTAACAATTCGAGTATGAGATATGATAAAAGAGTTAGTTAGTTTTCAAAGGTATATGAAGAGAGATTAATCGAATTATATAATGGGCTTAGAGAAAAGAAATACGGGGAAATAATTCGTGAATAAAGGTAGAAGGCTGCCTAAGATTTGGAAAAGCAAATTAAAAGAATTGCTAAAGATAATCCAGCATTTATTAGAGAACTTCCTTGATCTTTATACGGAGAGTTAATGTAAAGAGATTAATTAATTAGCCTCAAGTTATTTCTTAATTTACTTTAATTAATTAGTGAACTTTATTCAAATCTATTATGCATATTATTGGGGTTTTGGGGTTTTGGGG